TTGTATTGTCTTATTTATTTCCCTTTCCCTGTTTATTGTGAGCCGCCCGGAGTCCTTCGGAAGTGGGCGGCATACAAAACTAATAAACAACAACAACAACAACAACAACAACCAAGATTGTTCAACCATTTGTATAAAATGGTATAGGGTTTTCTTCTTGAGCAGAGGGTTGGACTAGAAGACTTCCAACGTCCCTTTCCACTCTGTTTATTCTGTTATTCTGTCTGTTTCCTTCTGTTCCTCCCACACTTGCAGATGTGATCTTTTGCTCTGTTTCCTTAAGGGAACAACTCTCTACTGTGGAGAGATGGAGCAAACACATGTGTAAACCTTTTTGTTTAAATCTCATTAGACCCGATCCTCTTGAAAGCAAGAGAAGACGAATATTCTGAACACAACTTTACACTTTTAAGGTGAACAAAACTGGGAAACCTGTTGAGAACTTGTCCTTGGGCAAGGAGAGGATTGAGGAGGAGGAGCACTCAAAGCACAGACCCAATATAAAAGCCCTGACTTCCTGACCAATTACAGAAGATCTGTAAAGCTGAGCAGCCATCTCTGAGCCCCTTCACCCATTTGCTTGTCTTTGCTTATCTTAAAGAGAAACCTCTTCGATCTCTCTGAATCCCTCCTGAAAGTCCCTCCTGAAAGACTAGACTTGAAACCAGCAGGATGACCTGGAATAGGTTCTTCCATGCAATGTAACCTTCAGTTATAGGCCCAAGGAGAATGCCTGTGGTATGTGGTCATCTTAGACTCATGATGGCGAACCTATGGCAAGCATGCTGGAAGTCGCAGGGAGAGCCATCTCTCCAGGCACGCCAGCCATAGCCCGTTGCTCTTCCAGTTTCTGGTGGGCATGCACACACTGGCCAGCTGGTCTTCATGTGCGCAGGAGTGCCGGAAACCAGAAGAGCAACTCTGGTGTGTATGGGCGCACCAGGAATGTTTTAGGCACACATATGTGCACTGACCAGCTGATCTTCGTGCGTGCGTGAATGCCAGAAACTGGAGGACCAGGTGACCAGTGCACATACGCATGCCAGAAATCAGAATCTCAGCTTCTCAGTGTGAATATGTGTGCCGTGGAACTGCTCTTTCAGTTTCCGGCACTTCTGGTTTCTGGTGCTCCCCACGCATGCGTTCCCATTTTGGCACTCGGTGCCAAAAAGGATCTCCAACACTGCCTTAGACTTTAGAAGCATAACTGCCTAGGTGCCTGAAGAAGCCCTTAAGTTTCACAGCCTGGAAGAGCCAGCCAGAATCACTTGATGTGCTCTATCCAGAATCAGAGAAAGGAATAGTAGAGCAAAGCCCATCCTGAATCAAGGAATGTGCCAAACTAGCCTGGCTAAAAAGCATCAGTGTCTATTTTTTGCATACATATATACATATACATATACATATACATATACATATACATATACATATACATATACATATACATATACAT